GTTATTTCCTATTTTAGTATTTATTATAGTTGGTTATTAAAGTAATGAGGTGAATATGTTTCATTGTCTTGTAGCAATTTGGCCATGTAAAAAATATTGCTTATTTATTTAATTATTTTTCATATATTTGTTATTTTGAATTCACGAGTGTGGGGATAAAAGGGAATATGTCCAAGAAGACAAAGTTAAAAATTGACAGTCTGGCATCAGGTGGCATTGAAGTCTCCGTGCGCGAGCGGCGGCGGACGTCGTGGCTACTTTGGGGTGTCCTGGTCTGGTCTGCTGCGGTCTGCTTTGTCCTTTTTTCATTCTGGTCTGTTCTGTTTTGGCCTTTTTTCATTCTGGTCTGTTCTGTTTTGGCCTTTTTTCATTCTGGTCTGTTCTGTTTTGGACTTTTTTCATTCTGGTCTATTATGTTTGTTTTTTTCTTTCTTTCTTTCTTTCTTTTGTCTGCTCTTCACTGTTGTTGTTTTTTTTTTGGTTCTGTTCTGCTTTGTTCTGTTTGGTTCTGTTCTGGTCTGTCATTTATTTTTCTCGGTTTGCTTTTCTTGTGTCGTCTGTCTCTTTTCTGCTTTGGTCTTTTCTTGTTCTGTTCTGCTTTAATCTATTATTCTGTTCTCTTCTGATCTGTCGTTTTTTTCCTTAGTTCTCTAACTGATAGATGGGACTTTATGTCATTGGTGAGATATTAATTACGCGTTTTCAGATCAATCGTTTTCTTTCTTTCTTTCTTTCTTTCATTTTGTGTCATTTCGGAAACTAGTTCATTCACAAACGGACGATTTCATCAACATGACACAGCTCACGAATAAGTAGCGACCTTTTGGTAATCTTAGAGCGAAGAGAAAAAGAAATGCACTTAAAAGAGTCAGTTACAAAGCAGGAAATCAGACAGTGGGAAACAGCAAGAGACTTGGCACGCAGAAACATTGAGCAAAAAAACGAAGAAAAAAGAAAAAAAGGGCCTTGAATAGTTATCCACTGGGGAGGGAGGCCGCTCGCGGAAACAGCTTCTTGATGGTGACACGGTGAAGGTAACCAAACTTTTGTAGAATTATTTATTTTTATTAACATCGTGTTGCTCTGTCGTCGTTTTTTTTTTTTTTTTTTTTTTAGGGGGGGGTATTTTGTTGGCATCTCTCAAATCTGAGTTTATTTATTTATTTTTATTTTTTATTTTTTTTATTTATTATTATTATTTTTTGTTATATTCGTATTGGGATATTGTCGCTTATTGTTATATTCGTTTCGTTATAATCTTCGTGTGTCGCTAATATTACCATATTTATGACTTGTTTATTATTACGTTATTTGTGATATAGGACTCCGTTATCATTCTCTCTTTGGAAGTGAGTACCGGCGACAATAAAGTTAGTATGAGCAGTAGCGATTGTAATAGGTATATTGCCAGCAGAAATACCGTTATTATTTTCACAGGTGTTACATCCGTGACTGTCCAAATAATAACAGTTATGCAGGCGGGGAATCCTAGCCGTATATGACGCATAGAATTAGCGAGCATAACAGATAGAATGAATACTTCGAATTCACATTATTTCTTATTGGATAGCCATGTCGA